TCTCTCACATGTGGGCCTACCAGCTTTCTCCCGCTTGATATGAAGCCACTAGAATTATTGAGTATATATACATCAGAAACAGTGGTGCGTAAGACGTGTTTATACGGCATAAACAGTCAAAGGGTTAAATGAAGGCTGTCTTGCTTTCAATGTTGTATGCTGAGCTCAACACAATACAGGTAGGTCCCACTTACACAGCAATGTAGGTTCGAGCTACCGATGTAAATGAAAATCGCTGTAAAGTGAAACACAGCCTTTTTCACTTTTAAATGTACATAAAAGCCTGATAACATGTTTACACTATCAAATATCAAATGAGCAATAGAGCTAGGCCTCAAAAATCCATATAAAGTACACATATTACTTCCCTTAAAATATTTTCATCCTTAGCTTACAGCGAGTGGCGAATAAATTTATTGAAAGAAGTTTGAATAAATGAAGAATGGGTATAACTGAAAACCACTGCATTAGTGAAACACTGTAAAGCTGGGCCCTCCTGTATCTACTTTAGCAACCCATTTCCAACTACAACCATGTTTGTGAGGAAATCACAAAGGAACTTCAACATGTCTTGCTGCTTGATGCAAGTCGCCTGGTATCATCTTATTGTTAATCAACTACAATATGGGTAAATACATGTTAACCTAACATTACCTAAAATAATAAATATTTATAGTATTATTACATAAATCTGGAAGAAATGCATGAACAGCATTAAGTGCAGAAATGTCCATTATATTAGGACAGGTTGCTAAAAATATACAGCATAAATCATACCTTTTCTTATATTTGGACTTTCATGCCTTGTTATGGGAACAGAGCTTGCAAAAACATTTGAACTGCCTCAAGGAACTTCAAACTTTTTGAAAAAACTAACCCAGCCATGATCAGCCTTGGTAAAAGAAATCTCACCACTAAAACTTAAATTAAAAAATTATTATTTTATTTTATTATCACACCGGCCGATTCCCACCAAGGCAGGGTGGCCCGAAAAGGAAAAACTTTCACCATCATTCACTCCATCACTGTCTTGCCAGAAGGGTGCTTTACACTACAGTTTTTAAACTGCAACATTAACACCCCTCCTTCAGAGTGCAGGCACTGTACTTCCCATCTCCAGGACTCAAGTCCGGCCTGCCGGTTTCCCTGAATCCCTTCATAAATGTTACTTTGCTCACACTCCAACAGCACGTCAAGTATTAAAAACCATTTGTCTCCATTCACTCCTATCAAACACGCTCACGCATGCCTGCTGGAAGTCCAAGCCCCTCCCCACACAAAACCTCCTTTACCCCCTCCCTCCACCCTTTCCTAGGCCGACCCTACCCCCCCTTCCTTCCACTACAGATGATACACTTTTGAAGTTCATTCTGTTTCGCTCCATTCTCTCTACATGCCCGAACCACCTCAAACAACCCCCCCTCAGCCCTCTGGACAACAGTTTTGGTAATCCCGCCCCTCCTCCTAACTTCCAAACTACAAATTTCTCTGCATTATATTCACACCACACATTGCCCTCAGACATGACACTCCACTGCCTCCAGCCTTCCCCTCGCTGCAACATTCATCACCCACGCTTCACACCCATATAAGGCGTTGGTAAAACTATACTCTCATACATTCCCCTCTTTGCCTCCAAGGACAAAGTTCTTTGTCTCCACAGACTCCTAAGTGAAACCCACTCACTCTTTTTCCCTCATCAATTCTATGATTCACCTCGTCTTTCATAGCCACCCGCTGACACGTCCACTCCCAAATACTGAATACGTTCACCTCCTCCATACTCTCTCCCTCCAATCTGATATTCAATCTTTCATCACCTAATCTTTTTGTTATCCTCATAACCTTTACTCTTTCCTGTATTCACCTTTAATTTTCTTCTTTTGCACACCCTACCAAATTCATCCACAATTCTGCAACTTCTTCCCTTTAGAATCTCCCAAGAGCACAGTGTCATCAGCAAAGAGAAGCCTGTGACAAACTCCACTTTGTGTGTGATTCTTTAAACTTTTAACTCCACGCCTCTTGCCAAGACCCTCGCATTTACTTCTCTTACAAACCCCCTCTATAAATATATTAAACAACCACGGTGACATCCACATCCCTTTTCTAAGGGGCCCACTTTTACTGGGAAAAAAATTTCCCCCTTTCCTACATACTCTAACTTGAGCCTCACTATCCTCGTAAAAACTCTTCACTGCTTTTCAGTAAACTACCTCCTACACCATACACTTGCAAACATCTGCCACATTGCCCCCCCCATCCACCCCGTCTACGCCTTTTTCCAAATCCATAAATGCCACAAAGACCTCTTTAGCCTTATCTAAATACTGTTCACTTATATGTTTCCTGTAAACACCTGGTCCACACACCCCCTACCTTTCCCAAAGCCTCCTTGTTCATCTTTCTATCCTATTCTCCGTCTTACTCTTAATTCTTTCAATTATAACTCTACCATACACTTTACCAGGTACACTCAACAGACTTATCCCCTATAATTTTTGCACTCTCTTTTATTTCCCCTTTGCCTTTATACCCAAAAAAACTATGCATGCTCTCTGCCAAACCCTAGGTACCTTACCTTCTTCCCTACATTTTATTAAAATAATTGCACCAACCACTCCAAAAAATATATTCCCAACTGCTTTTAACATTTCTATCTTTATCCCCTCAATCCCGGCTGCCTTACCCCTTTCATTTTTTTCCCTACTGCCTCACGAACTTCCCCCACACTCACAACTGGCTCTTCCTCACTCCTACAAGATGTTATTCCTCCTTGCCCTATACACGAAATCACAGCTTCCCTATCTTCATCAACATTTAACAATTCCTCAAAATATTCCTTCCATCTTCCCAATACCTCTAACTCTCCATTTAATAACTCTCCTCTCCTATTTTTAACTGACAATCCATTTGTTCTCTAGGCTTTCTTAACTTGTTAATCTCACTCCAAAACTTTTTCTTATTTTCAAAAAATTTGTTGATAACATCTCACCCACTCTCTCTTTGCTCTCTTTTTACATTGCTTCACCACTCTCTTAACTTCTCTCTTTTTCTCCATATACTCTTCCCTCCTTGCATCACTTCTACTTTGTTAAAAACTTCTCATATGCTAACTTTTTCTCCCTTACTACTCTCTTTACATCATCATTCCACCAATCGCTCCTCTTCCCTCCTGCACCCACTTTCCTGTAACACAAACTTCTGCTGAACACTCTAACACTACATTTTTAAACCTACCCCATTTCCCCCTTCGACCCCATTGCCTATGCTCTCATTAGCCCATCTATCCTCCAATAGCTGTTTATATCTTACCCTAACTGCCTCCTCTTTTAGTTTATAAACCTTCACCTCTCTCTTCCCCGATGCTTCTATTCTCCTTGTATCCCATTACTTTTACTCTCAGTGTAGCTACAACTAGAAAGTGATCTGATATATCTGTGGCCCCTCTATTAACATGTACATCCTGAAGTCTACTCAACAGTTTTTTTTCTACCAATACATAATCCAACAAACTACTGTTTATTTCGCCCTACATCATATCGTGTATACTTATTTATCCTCTTTTTCTTAAAATATGTATTCCCTATAACTAAACCCCTTTCTTAAAAAGTTCAATCAAAGGGTCCCATTTCTTTTACACCTGGCACCCCCAAATTCCTCCCACCCCCCTCTCTAAAAGTTTCCCCTACTTTAGCTTTAAAGTCCCCTACCACAATTACTCTTCACTTGGGGAAAGGTCCTTTCATTCACTTAACATCTCCCCAAAAACCTTCTCTCCTCTGCTTCCTCTCTTCTCCCGGTGCATACACGCTTATTTGACCCACTTCTCGCTCCAAACCCTTTTCTTTATCCACATAATTCTTTAATTTTCACATTATTTCTCTTTTTCCCTTCCATAACTGATCATTTAACTTCTGTAACCCCTTTCCCTTTCTCTAACTCTTAGTATCCGATTTAATCCCCTTTTTTTTTTTCCCCCCCCTGAAACTCTCCTACCCCTTCAGCTTTGTTTTGTTAGGGCCAGGACATCCAACTTCTTTTCTTCATAAAAATCAGCCTCACGTTTTTGTCATCCGCATAACCCCCGCCCCAAATTTTAAACAACCCAGTTTTATAAAATTTTTTTTCTCTTTTTTAGTAATTTTTTAAGGAGAAGGGGGTTTTTAGCCCTTGCTCCCCCCCCGGCATTTTTGTCGCCCCTACGAACCCCAGGTTACGGGGGGAAAGATTTTTTCCACTTCCCATGGACAATAGAAGAAAAAAAAAAAGAAAAGATATTTTGAAAAAAGGGGAAAAACCCGATGTAAAGTTTTTTATATTTGTTGCGTGTCTGTGAAGTGTGACCAAAGTGTAAGTAGGAGTAGCAAGATATCCCTGTTATCTTAGCGTGTTTATGAGACAGAAAAAGAAACCAGCAATCCTACCATCATGCAAAACAGTTACAGGTTTTTGTTTCACAGTCATCTGGCAGGACGGTAGTACTTCCCTGGGTGGTTGCTGTCTACCAACCTACTACCTTAAAAAATACATTAACCAAAATGTTCACAGAAAGATTGATAGAAAGATGGAGCATGAGGCTACTATGAGAGTTAATGCATGCATGTAACTGGTAAAAATTGGGGAAGAAAGTTTTTAGATTTACAAAGCCCTTTGATTGAAAAGGTCATTTAGTGCTCTTGGCAATAGAAAGCTAAATGCAACTGTAAAATCCAAGGAGTTATAAGTGATTACTCTAGACTCATGCAAGCACCAAACTGATAAAATCCAGGGAGATGTAAAGGATTACTGTAAGGAGTATTGATGGCATCCAACTGGGACATTCTACTTAAGTTTACTTTCCAAAATGCTTCTTAACAGTATCTTAACCCTGAAATGTTATCTTTCCAACCTAGAAGACCTGGTATGAGAAGATAATCCCAGAACCACTAACAGATAATAGTGGAACTAGTACAAAAAATAAAAGTATTAGTGAAGAGCAGGAAACACTTGCACATTACCTGTCTATGTTCTCTTCTTGATAAAGATTCACCATTAACAATCCTCCAGACATATTTGCAACAGATTCTGGTATCAATGAACAACAATCTGAAGCCATGATAATAATGCAAAATTTCTTCCTTTATTCTAACACCTAGAGACTTTCTTTCCACAATCTCTAATTTTTTAACTGGAGCTACTGGTGATCCAGCAGCTTTTGCCTTTTCCTTGAGGTCCCTTTACAGTCACTTCAACTTGAGATGAGGGCTTCAGGGATTCCTTTTCAAAGATTTTGGAGGATGTGTGGAAACTACGATAGCACGGCACATAGACAGTTGTATAAGAGGTGTGTAGAGCTGGAGATATAAACACTGCAGGTGATGAGACCTGAATGTGACCAAGATGTTGGCCTGGCACTTGAGTAACCCAACCACTGGCAAGATTGCCATGGGTGATTGCATATACTGCAGTCACCTCTGGGGTGGTTCGCAATGACACTATGCTATTGTGCCATGGTCTCCGCAGCACCAAACTACCAGTCTTTGACACCTGGCCAAACCCTGAAGAAAAAAGGAAAATCTCAACAATTTCCTGTATGTCAAGATAAACAAAGCACTAACATTAACATTATGGTTTATTAATATTACATAAAGAATCTCCAAAACATTCAGAACTGCATCAAAAAGAAACCTCCAAAACATTCAGAATAAAAGATTGCATATCATCAGACTACATAGTACTATAGTTTTTAAAAGAAAAGTTACAGTGCTGCATCTAAATAGAAAAAAATATTGTCTCATAATCCTCAGTTCATTACTTTACCCTAAATATATTATAAACACATGACAATAACTAATCTGAATAAAATCCACACAAATACAGTACAGCAACTGTACAGTATTACCAACATGACAGGTAATACAGCCTCTTCTCACTTAGAGACGTACTCATTCCCCGACAACTTGGACTTCCAACGGGGCTCTCTGACCAGTATGTATACCTAAATAATGTATATTAGAGCTGTTATCCTCTATTCTGTTTATTACAATATATACAGTACACTACTGTACAAACATTTAAAAGTATGCCAGATATGTTATAAATGGTGCAAAGGTGACATTAAAACAATATCAAAGATGGTTGACACAAACCCATTATAGTATGCTCTTCACTTAGTGATGAATTCATTTACTGATGAGGTCTTAGGAGCGGAACTCCGTCGTTAAGCGAGGAGAGGCTGTACTTTTAACTGGCTGTCATGCTATCTACATTATTGATGCTCGAGTCCCCTCTCCCCCTCTCACTAATTACATTTTGAGAAGTAAATTTTGTCCTAGATATGAGAGAATAGGTCTGTGCAGTGAGTGCACACAATATAAAATTTTTTTTTTGCCCCATGCAGAGTATGATGGGAAAAACAAAACTCTGACCTAGTGTTTGATTTAAAATAACAAATTTGAGGTGTTTGCTAGGATGTTATCCATGGTTTTATTGGCTTTTTTTTTTTTTTTGCATCACTGAATAGAATGGAAGATGTACTGTACTACTGAAATGAAGATGATTTTGGTTGATTTCAGGAATGGAAGTAGCTTGAAATTGGGCTCCAAGCAATGGAAATATTTAATTTTTGCTGATTTTCTCAAGGACAGGTAAGGCCACCTAAACCCCTCAGCCATTGTTTTGTGGCTTTTTAGCATGTCCAATTCAATTATTGGGATGCTGTAAACCATGGCCAATCATTCCTGGTTATATTTTATTATCTGAAAAATTGGGAAAATCTTTGAGCTTTTGCGATTATGAATTGAAAATGGAAAGCAAATGTAATACAAAAGAGGCCTGAGATGTGATTAATGAACTGAGAAAATGTTTTAGTGCCTGCAATATCTACATTGTTTATTTTGGACTAGTATTTTGAAACTTTTATTTAACTGTGCAGAAAATTGGCCAAAGTACCGACTTCTGTGCACTTCATAGAGTACGTACAGCTGTAATTGTTGAATGAGAGATTTTTTGTGCAAAACCAAAATAATGAAGAATTTGGTTGCATTAAGCAATGGACTCATCTTAAAACAGGACTCAAAGAGGGAAAAATCACCAATGCATAAGTTCATTCAGGTATACATAAATACAGTTACATAGATTATCAAACATAGCAGCGTATGTGTAGAGAACCTAGGATAACCCAAAAAAGTCGTAGTGACTTATTTCCATTGGGGTCCTTTAAACTGTGACCAAACCTCAAATTTTGTGCCTGCTTAATTCCACAAGTTTTCCATCAAATGTCATACTTTTGGTGTCATTACCTTCAGGAAAAGGTTTTCTTACCATTTCAGAAAAAAATAATTTAAATGTGGACACTGAACAATATTAATTTTGGGGCCTGGACAGTGAAAGGGTTAAGAATACTACTGTGCTTTAATAAAATTGATTCATCACTTCCTGCATGAAACATCAAAGCTCAACATGTTTCATACATTGTTCTGCTATGAATTTATTATACAAACTATGTTACAAGGCTGGTTCCTATTGGTTCCTGTCAATACTAATGGGGATACTTTTAATGTTAATCATTTATCAGATTTCTTATTTTACGTGGGATTTCATAATCTAGTTTAACAGCATTTTAATTCTGCCATTCAATAAAATATTACCACCTGTGCCATTACTTGTAAGGTAGATTTTGTGTGCAAATTCAAGCTTATTTTACTGAACCCTACTCACTTGTATGAAGTTTAAATAAGATTGTAAAACAGCTAACCACTATTACTTGTCTAGTTTTAAGTATAGTTACTATGTACTATTATCTCATCTAGTTTTAATTAGTTATTATGTAATAAGGATTATTTCCCCGGAATCCCTCGCATGATAGGGGCTACTTTATACTTAGCAAACCAATTGTAATTACACATTGTAACCCTTTTTAAAAAGAAAAAAATTTTACTTTACTATTTCTGGCTTGAGTATTATGTGCTTTCATGTATTTCATGGAGAGTGGAAATGTTTGAAAAGTTTTTTTACACCTGTTCCCCCCCTGTTCATTTAAATACGGGGAAACCTCAAAATTGAACGTACACATATCGAACGTTTCGAAAAGGGTTAATAAAAAGTGGATGAGGTGCCTTCTTCAAAGATTAAGGAGATTTGTGCCCAAAAAGGGAAAGAGTCCAAATGTTTGTGCAGAAGTACCAAACCCTGAGCAAGCTAAACAAGCCTTTTGCAACAAGTACAGTGCAGAACCAGTCCCCTTTTAGGAAAAAGTTGAAAGAGGTGCCATAAACAGAGGACTGTGGACATTATTTTTGTGAGACGGGTCCAGTGACTCTCAAGCTGGGCCTAGTGGCATTAAAAACAAGAAGGAAGTAACCCCCGAGGGGCTTTCCTGAAGTCCTCAAGGGGGGGATTCTCCTCAAAACCTAACCCCAACTCCCTATTCCAGATGCCATCACCAAACTTCAATAAAGGTAAGTAAAAATGTTATTTTATATGTATTACTATACATAATAAAAACTATAGTATTTGTTGTATGTAAAACTGTAATTAATCTCTATAAAATGTCTTTCTTGTGTGAATATTTTTGGGTTTTGGGAAGGATTTAAATTTTATTTCCTTTTTCTTATGGGAAAAATTTTTCGAAATTTTAACTTTTTCGAATTTAGAACTAGCTCCTGGAACGGATTAAGTTCAATTTTTGAGGTTCCACTGTAGGTACCTTGATGTTAGTAGACTCTTGTGGGGTCATATCCTGGAGAAAAATTAAATGACTTCAATGGAAATGACCTGGTCTGATGACAGTGGCTTTATTGGGTTAACCTGGGTTAGTAATACTCTGGGTTAACAATACAATTAAAATCTTAAGAAACTTAAAACCAAATTAATATCCTCTGAGATCTGATTACTTTGAGATATGGTTGATTATATATTTGTGATTATGATAGATAATATATGTCTTCACCCTATGTTGGTGGAGACAGGACAATGCACAGACATCCATAAGGTGCTAAAGCAACCCATCATCATCAGTCCAAGTGAACCCTTTATAAAGAGGGTCTTGCATAATTACACATAATGCCTAAGCAACTTCCAAAATGGCAAAAATCAACCATCAGCTTTGCCACTTCCCTCATGAAACTATTTTATTTATTTACTATCACACTGGCCGATTCCCACCAAGGCAGGGTGGCCCGAAAAAGAAAAACTTTCACCATCATTCACTCCATCACTGTCTTGCCAGAAGGGTGCTTTACACTACAGTTTTTAAACTGCAACATTAACACCCCTCCTTCAGAGTGCAGGCACTGTACTTCCCATCTCCAGGACTCAAGTCCGGCCTGCCGGTTTCCCTGAACCCCTTCATAAATGTTACTTTGCTCACTCTCCAACAGCACTTCAAGTATTAAAAACCATTTGTCTCCATTCACTCCTATCAAACATGCTCACGCATGCCTGCTGGAAGTCCAAGCCCCTCACACACAAAACCTCCTTTACCCCCTCCCTCCAACCTTTCCTAGGCCGACCCCTACCCCGCCTTCCTTCCACTACAGACTGATACACTCTTGAAGTCACTCTGTTTCGCTCCATTCTCTCTACATGTCCGAACCACCTCAACAACCCTTCCTCAGCCCTCTGGACAACAGTTTTGGTAATCCCGCACCTCCTCCTAACTTCCAAACTACGAATTCTCTGCATTATATTCACACCACACATTGCCCTCAGACATGACATCTCCACTGCCTCCAGCCTTCCCCTCGCTGCAACATTCATCACCCATGCTTCACACCCATATAAGAGCGTTGGTAAAACTATACTCTCATACATTCCCCTCTTTGCCTCCAAGGACAAAGTTCTTTGTCTCCACAGACTCCTAAGTGCACCACTCACCCTTTTCCCCTCATCAATTCTATGATTCACCTCATCTTTCGTAGACCATCCGCTGATACGTCCACTCCCAAATATCTGAATACATTCACCTCCTCCATACTCTCTCCCTCCAATCTGATATCCAATCTTTCATCACCTAATCTTTTTGTTATCCTCATAACCTTACTCTTTCCTGTATTCACTTTTAATTTTCTTCTTTTGCACACCCTACCAAATTCATCCACCAATCTCTGCAACTTCTCTTCAGAATCTCCCAAGAGCACAGTGTCATCAGAAAAGAGCAACTGTGACAACTCCCACTTTATGTGTGATTCTTTATCTTTTAACTCCACGCCTCTTGCCAAGACCCTTGCATTTACTTCTCTTACAACCCCATCTATAAATATATTAAACAACCCACGGTGACATCCCACATCCTTGTCTAAGGCCTACTTTTACTGGAAATAATTTCCCTCTTTCCTACATACTCTAACTTGAGCCTCACTATCCTTGTAAAAACTCTTCACTGCTTTCAGTAACCTACCTCCTACACCATACACCTGCAACATCTGCCACATTGCCCCCCTATCCACCCTGTCATACGCCTTTTCCAAATCCATAAATGCCACAAAGACCTCTTTAGCCTTATCTAAATACTGTTCACTTATATGTTTCACTGTAAACACCTCGTCCACACACCCCC